CACCTGGAACCTCCTATTAGCCCCCGCACCCCTTACACTCGTCACTTTTTTCACTTCTTGCTTCACCGGCTGCCTAATATAATATACCATAAAGATAGTTACAAAAGACTCATTTGCTGTCAATTCTTTTCTTGCTACCGAAGAGAATCTTTCGTTCGTTAATAGTATAGAGTTTAGGGATAGGTTGTATGGATGTTAGATACCTGTTGGGGAATGTGGAGATATGGTGGCTGCGTTGGCTTCGGGGTTTCTGCACGCGCTATATTTGCCAGATGCTTAGGAGAAACCAATACCTTGTCGTTTTTATGTTCGTATAACCCGAGGCGGTAAACATATAGAGAGGGGCTACCCTTTTATAATACTCTATCCAGAAAGATTTGGAGTCTGGTCTACTTTATGCCTTGGGGTTTCATGGGGGCAGTGAACAGTATTGCGTTAAGCTTGAGAGAAATATATTTGATAGATTTTTATTAAATCAACGAAGTCCCCGGCTCAAAGCATTTGGTTACATGAAGCCAAACTCTCATGAGCCTCGCAATTAGCACGGTGGAGTCTGTTCCTCACTTTGAATGATTTGAAATACCTGGACTATTGAATGGGGACGATACCTAGTTCATGTAAGCTCCTGTATTCGAGTTACGGAGTAATGCTAGGTCGAGTGTAAGCGAGCCTTCGAAGGTTGTGTAGAATACAATCAGCTGCTAAGTTCCAGTCTGATCAGTCTAATGAAGTCCATGCCGCAAATATGGCTCGGGATAACTGATCAAATTCGAGTTTTCCAAGGCGATTGTGAGAGGTCTCATGGTCGTGCTCCGATTTAAAACAGATACATATTACCGCGAAGGCAAAGAAAGATTTCTACTCCGAGAAAGGGCAATATTATATATGCGATGTTACAGAACTTCAGAGAAAAAATGGGATGAAATCACATCAAAACCGTGGATGGCCTTTGGACTGCGAACTCTGAGAACTCACCTTAAAGTTCCCTTCCAATTTCAAGCATTACGGTAGAAAGCATTGCGCGTCATATGCAATGACCTCGGAAGAATGCCTCGATATGAATGGCCGGCAGCCGCCAAAGACACTCAAGATTACATCTGGGGTTGTTTAAGCTGTGTAGACCAGCACACAGCGATCCAGACGTAGGAATTGTCTCGCGTCCTTATATAAAGACCGATGGAGCTCTGTAGTAGTGATTGAGTAGGCCTAGCTTCAACTAATGGAATGCCGGAGAAAGGTAATCCGGGTGTTGTATGAAGTTATAATCCAATTTACATGATTGATTACCTGGCTTATCGATTCCAACGAATGTTATTAAACTTGGATTCATAATCGAAATACCTTCTTAGCAGCAACGTAGAATATCCACTTTTAAGAGCCTTAATTTGCTGTCAAATATTCTCTTACTGTTGAAATCATTCTTCTCCATTAGTAAAATGACAAAACCTAGATTGTCGAATCTCCAAAATATAACGGCCTTGAACTCCGAAGCATTTATTTGCTTCTGTAGTTCTGTACTTACTTAGATACCCAAAAGCCTTAAAAGAGACACCAGGTAATGTCAATGACAAAATCTTGCCTTTAAGCGTAATGCAAAATCACTAGAGTCCTAGGTTCGATGAGTGTTTATAGTCAGCGGTTCGGCTAGCTTTGTGAATTTGCCTGCTACGTCTGGTAAATATTCCAAATCTAGATATAACGAGAAAATTTAGGGGCCAAAGTTAACGAGATAAAGACTCTCTGATATACTTCCTTTATTATTACTTGTGATTGATAGGAAAACTTAAGGTATTGAAAATACAACTCTACTAGATTGTTCCACCTCAAATCACTCTTAGTTGCGCCAAAACTATATACCAACTCAATAAAAACTCGCGCTAAACCCATACTAACCACCACAGAAATCTTTCATTGACCCAACGGGGAAACAAATTTTACTAATAAATTGCCCTTCTTGAATACAATTAGGTGGATAATGAAGGATAACAACCGACCCGCGGTTACAATAGCCTCTTCCAAAGAAGGTGCCTGCTAAATGGTAAACAGGAACGCCCCGGAAAGCTTGTGGTTAGAGGTGAAAAATGACGATTTATTCACCATGAAATTGCAACCTCGGATGCCATTCAGCCAGCCTGGAGATTCACGTTGGTCTAAGAAGAAAACGAACATCCCAAGAAGGCAGCCCCATAATCCCACCCGCCCACACGCCAAAAAAAACCCCCCTAAAAATGGCAAAAAACCCTCCTACCAGGTTCAATAACCAGACGAACTGAGTTTTTGATTTTTTTGTCCAGTGTAGGGCCCCACCGACACGATTGTCTTACAGCTTCGTATGCGTTTCCTTTTGCGTATGCGTAACAGCTAGTGTGTGTGGCGCTTCTGGGTGATCACACACTAACTGACTGGGCCAGGCGAACAGGTTTAATCCCAGTTTTGGTGGCAGGAAATGTGTTACTAGGGGATATGAATGTTGTTTTGCGATATTTGTGGGGTTTTCGCTAGGCGAGCGCTTGTCATTGGTGGAAAAGCTTCGGGTTTGTTAGGAGGTCTTCTAGCCGAGAACCCATTACAATATCAGCGGATTCAGACAAGATACAACGGCGTCGATTCATTTCCACAACCGACCACCTCAAACCTTCACGATTCGCCTTCTTCGGATCAGACCGTGCAATCCCGTACGTGGTTACGAGTGTTGCTCCATCAAAGCAAAGAAACAACAAGATTTACCATCGAGTATTTCCTTGCTGTCGAAATCTGCCCTGTCGTTTTCTCACAATTCTTTTCCGTCAAGGCGTCGCCATCGTTTTGGAAGGACATGTAGTAGAAAATCTCTTCCCTTGTTCCCGCTAATGCCACATCGATAAGATGGCCACAACTCATTGACAATCTGAACGTGCCCTTGACTCCAGCAAGGACATCTGAGCTGTTCGAAAGAGTACTAAGACCAGGTCAATATGCTTTCTAACGTTTATAACTAGGCTTGTTCTACCATCGTAGTCGATGGTTCTATAGTTGGTTGCCTGGAATCTCGCCGGCCCAGGGGTCATATACTTTCAGATCTTTGAAATGATATTCACCTCTTTGAGCAATTACCTTCGAAGTCCAAGCGAAGCATGGGTTCCTGGACTTTGTTCCGTTGCAGTCGAAAGATTTCTGCTTTGAAGATGTCAACAGAATGATGTAGCGAAATTGGGGGTCTCAAAATGTTTGGAAGGTTCGGGAGGAGAGAAACCTGCAATCATTAATTATGCATATTTTCTTCCACAGAAAAAGAACATTCCTTACAAGAGCCAAAACTCCTATTCGTACTATTCAGAGTTTTTAGTTTTTGTCGGCGTTTTTATATGCTCCTGTAACATGAACTCTTGTATCAGAATTAGACTAGAATTCAGACTTTAAATAATTCTTCGGTATGTTCCATTGGTTGACGCTCTTATTCTTCTTCAAGAAAGAAAACGATCAAGTCTCTTTCAAGATCATTCGATCCGAACACCAAAAGTATAAGTGCACGTGTGAGAAACACCTGGGACTTGAGTTCGTGCGTGCTGCTATACTCACAGACGAAATGAACACGAGGAACCTAGTAGTGTACTATGAAGTAAGTATATTTACTGTCGATTCCTTTCCTACTGTCGAAACGAAACAATTGATTACACACCCTTATTATATCCTCAGTCACTATCAGATACAGGATCAGGCTCTTCAATATCTATTGGCTGGGTTAGGATATCCTTTTTCTCATGGCCTGAGCCCGTTCTTCTTATCAGCGGGACAGGCTCGCGAGGATTAGTCGAATAATGTGCGAGAAATTGCGGTGTGGCAGTTTGAACGCGGTCCCGGAACTCTTAATTTAGGGACAGAAAGGTGTGTGTCACTAGTGGATTGACTTCTCCGATACCAACATTCAGATCACTGAGAGTCAGGTAATCAGATTTGAACCACTTTATGTGTGAGAGCTACGAGTGAGTTTTCACATGGGAGATGAGAGGATGTTTTGGGGAAGTTGGGGGGGAGGGGGGGGG